ACTCCGGTCTCTTGCGCCGCACAGCATCACGTAGGCGACGGAGGACATCCCTGTAGTACTCTTTGGTGATTGTTTGACCCTGTGGTGCATACTCGTGGTGTACCACACCGCGGGAGTCAAAGAAAACAGTCAGCATCACTTTGACGTTGCTGCGCACTTGGCGGGCCTTCTTTGGTCTTGGTGACGTGGAATGCTTCCACTGTGATGACTGGGATTTGGTTTCCGACTCGTCACCAGTGATTATGGTGTTCATGAAGTTGGGGTCACTGTTTGTGGTATCCAGCATGTCCTGTGAGACTTCAACACGAAGTTCCTTTTTCTCCGCCATAAGCAGCTTCGGCACGAATTTTGCCACCACTCTCTTCATAGCCAAATCTTCGGTCATAATGGAATGTGCCAAAAAAGTGCTGATGCCCACCTCTTCCGCAATTTCTCGGATAGTCACACGACGGTCTCGCATCACCATAGCGTTCACTTTGGCAATGACTTGGTCATTTCGACATGTTGATGGCTGACCGGAGCGTGGCTCGCTCTCCACCGTTGTGCGGCCGTCTTTAAACTGGTTGTACCATCCTTAATCTGTGTGATGCCCATAGCATTGTCACCGAAAGCCGTCTGAATCTTCCGAATGGTTTCCACCTGGCTGTCGCCCAGTTTCTGGCAAAATTTGATGCAGTAGCGCTGCTCCAGTCGTTCCATCATTTTCCTTGCAATGAAAAACCGACGAGAGCACTACACACTACCTCACTCAATGGCTGCTTGCCAACAACTGACGCAATCAACAAGCGGGAAAAAATTCACGCATGCGCATGAAGGTTCAAGGTCTGCTCATGCAAGCGCGCTTGATTCAAATCCATCAGGTTATCGCAAAAAAAAAGGTCGGATACTTTTCTCACAGGCCTCGTATGATGTCAGACCAAGGACTAAATTTACACACACACACACACATCAAATTAAAGACAATATTTTCAGTATGACTAAGGTAATCTGAGGATTTTCAGTATACACAGAACTATTAGGCTGTAACATTTATTCAATAGATCTGACTTAGATGAACTGTGGCTCAAACAGTTACTTACCTGGTTTGAGGGTTTTGATGGCTACAGGAGTGGTATTATTCCATAATCCTTCCCAAACCTCTCCAAACTGACCCTGTCCTAGCTTTCTGACAAACTTAAGTGAACTTCTCTCAATTTCCCATTGATCTCTAGTACAATGAGAAAGACTACTTGTTGTGGGCTTCTCCACCTGGTGGTGAGAGATTGAATTTAGACACTAAAGATGAATACTGTAGATGGACTTTGAGTTAATTATAAATGCACAAATAGATAAGTAAATCATATTAAACAAGAATTTTAATACAATTTTTCTTTTATGTTTAATGGTGGACTTAGAACTTAGTAATTAAAAAAAGAAAATGTCCTGTTTCATTAATAATTCTAGTTTTCACATTTCTGGCATGGTTTGCTATATCATATACATATCTGACCTTCTGTTTGTATCATTAAATATCCCCTGAAATTTGGTCAATAACACTTCACTAAGGTAGTATTAAATAATTATACATATCACAATGCATTAATAACAAGTTTTTGGATCAGGTATTTGAAACAATACAAATTACATTCAGGATTAAAGAATATACCATTAGAAGGATATATTTAATTATTTACAAGGACACATCAAAGTTGTACGTCAGTTGTTTGTAGTTTTTATAATAGAACTTAATCAATACATTAATACACAAGAATTTTCTTTTCTTTTCAAGAAACAAATTGAAGAACAGGCAGTAACCAACGACCTAGTTGATTAATTTTTACTGGGAAAACTAAAGTTAACAGTACATACATGCACTCACAAAAACAAGGCACATTCTATACCTACGGATATATTACATAAATAAAGATATCTGATATTTCAAATAAAAAAAACATTACAGATTGTACTGTGGCTTATGTTTTGACAACTTGAAAGTAGTGAGTGACATTTGGAACCTCATTTTTGTAGAAACCCTAAAATATGATATTATTCATAGACTATGAATTTATTTAGTAGGTTTTCTGTGGATGTATTTTGTGTCTTCTAACCTAAATCCTACCCATAACTTTCAAGAGGACTCAATAAAGAGCCAAGATAAAGGATGCAGGATTAAACTGTACAACCGAACAAGTTATGAAAGTTACTGATAACATTAAAGACCTACAATTAAAAATCTAGAGGATCATAAAGAATTTGCACAAGTCCAGAGAATGTCCAGGTTATAAAACATCAATTCTTTATGATTTGGATACCATAGTAACACCACGGGGTTGCTATAGATTTACATGTATCCAGTGAGTCTCCATGGTGTAAAACATCATTTCGTTATGATTTGGATACCAGAACAACACCACAGGGTTGCTATAGATTTACATGCATCCAGTGAGTCTCCATGGTATAAAACATCAATTCTTTATGATTTGGATACCAGAGTAACACCACAGGGTTGCTATAGATTTACATGCATCCAGTGAGTCTCCATGGTATAAAACAATTTCTTTATGATTTGGATACCATAGTAACACCACAGGGTTGCTATAGATTTACATGTATCCAGTGAGTCTCCATGGAATAAAACATCATTTCTTTCTGATTTGGATACCAGAGTAACACTACAGGGTTGCTATAGATTTACATGTATCCAGTGAGTCTCCATGGTATAAAACATCATTTCTTTATGATTTGGATACCAGAGTAACACCACAGGGTTGCTATAGATTTACATGTATCCAGTGAGTCTCCATGGTATAAAACATCAATTCTTTATGATTTGGATACCATAGTAACACCACGGGGTTGCTATAGATTTCCACGTATCCAGTGAGTCTCCATGGTATAAAACATCATTTCTTTCAGTTTTGGATACAAGTTTGATTGCAAATATTGTTCAAGTTAATTTTCTTAGGTTTAGTGACTTTGTAATAGCATGATAACTGAATACTTCCAATTGAAAATAATCACGCAGTAATAATGATAGTGAAGAAGCTTGATATAACTTCATAACTTACTCCCTATCAACATAACATCAAAATCCCACAATATTACACATTTCAGTTAAATTGCTTTATAATCATACTGAGCTTGGAATTTTGTTTTTATATAATACTCTGACATACATTCTCCTCTCATTAAGAAGTTACTTTCATCACAATTGTAATTTATAAGAAGTTGACTGATGTACAAGTTTTGATGGACTTATTTTTTTCTATAACAGAATAGAATTATTTATCAATTTGAAAGGTACACAAAGCATTTAGCAATAAGTAAGCTTCGACAACACCTACACACTACATATTCTAATGCTACACTTAAACTAAATATTTCTTCTAATCACTACATAGCTTATCTTTCAATATTAATACATCAAACTTCAAAATTTGTAAAACTCGTCGCCTTTAGCATATTTTTTGGCAAAAAAAAAAGGTCAAAGTAAACTATTTTACTACAAGGCTAGTAAGTGTTCAGTGGAAAGGTTTATTTCCCAAGAATGTATCATGACTTTAACCTAAATAGTTTGGCAAGAACAATTCTTATAAAGTTATATTTTTTCATAAGAAAACAAAAATCACATATTTTTAATTACCTGAATACAAGGTTTGCGAAGATTAACACATAAGCCATCAGAATCCTTGCTGTAATGTTCTACTAACTCTTGTAGTGTTCGGAAAGTTGTCCTTCGAGCAATGAAAAATCCTCCTTCATCTAGCTGTCTGATACGATAGTGTTTTACAGTGTCGCCATCTTTCACTGTTATTGATAAATTTAACAAGTTTATATCAAATATAAACACCCAATTATTTAAGTACAATGCTTTCTTATAAAAAACTTATTTTCACTTCACTGAAGTTTAAAAAAAACTATGTGGTAAAATTATGGAAACAAATTTAAACTATTTTAAAAATGACATTAGAGTGAAAATTACTGAAAGTTAAATTATGCTTATAGGTTTTCAATTAAGGTGTATTTTAAAATAGAACTGGGCAATTAACTTGATTAATAGATTACTTACAAGCATTAATTATGATGTTAGGAAAACATATAGGCTAAATATACAATACAACATAACCCGTGTTCTTTCAAAGGCATCATTCTTTCTTCATCGGGGGCAAAGTGGGAATGATTAAGTGTTGTGTGACAGAATATGGGGTGATATCATAATAGACAATCATAAAACCTGGGTTAAATCAATATGTCATGTAAAATAATCCATTAATCAAAATTATGATTAAAGTCATAGAAAGTAACCAATTAATTGAAATTAGTGTTTCCAATTATTCCAACAATCCAAGTAATCAAATTGCTACATAATTATATACAGTGTAATTAGACATAATGATGCCCATTAGTCATGGACTCTATAACAATGTACCTTTACTAATTATTTAGAGTAACATTGTTTTTACAGAACTACTGTGGGAGACCAATATTCATTATTTTATTTACAAAATGTTGATTACTAAATAACTTGCTCATTTAATGGTGTTAAAAATTACTAGACATAGTCTAATGACAGTTTAACAACATGTAACACTGTCAAGTCAATCTATATACATGAACTAGACACAAACTAATGATAGTTTAACAACATGTGACACTGTCAGGTCAATCTATATGCATGAACCAGATAGACTAATGACAGTTTAAAATGTAACACAGTGAAGTAAATCTATGTACATGAACTATACACAGACTAATGACAATTTAACAACATGTAACACTGTCAGATCAATCTATTTACATGAACTAGACACAGACTAATGACAGTTTAACAACATGTGACACTGTCAAGTCAATCTATATACATGAAATAGACACAGACTAATAACAGTTTAACAACATGTGACACTGTCAAGTCAATCTATATACATGAACTAGATAGACTAATAACAGTTTAACAACATGTAATACTGTCAAGTCAATCTATTTACATGAACTAGGCATAGACTAATGACAGTTTAACAACATGTAACACAGTGAAGTCAATCTATTTACATAAACTAGACACAGACTAATAACAGTTTAACAACATGTGACACAGTGAAGTCAATCTATTTACATGAACTAGACACAGACTTATGACAGTTTAACAACATGTAACACAGTGAAGTCAATCTATTTACATGAACTAGACACAAACTAATGACAGTTTAACAACATGTGACACTGTCAGGTCAATCTATATACATGAACCAGATAGACTAATGACAGTTTAACACGTAACACTGTCAGGTCAATCTATATACATGAAATAGACACAGACTAATAACAGTTTAACAACACGTGACACAGTGAAGTCAATCTATTTACATGAACTAGACACAGACTAATGACAGTTTAACAACATGTAACACAGTGAAGTCAATCTATTTACATGAACTAGACACAGACTAATGACAGTTTAACAACATGTAATACTGTCAAGTCAAGATATTTACATGAACTAGACACAGACTAATGACAGTTTAACAACATGTAACACTGTCAGGTCAATCTATTTACATGAACTAGACAGACTAATGACAGTTTAACAACATGTAACACTGTCAGGTCAATCTATTTACATGAACTAGGCATAGACTAATGACAGTTTAACAACATGTAACACTGTCAGGTCAATCTATTTACATGAACTAGGCATAGACTAATGACAGTTTAACAACATGTAACACTGTCAGGTCAATCTATCTACATGAACTAGGCATAGACTAATGACAGTTTAACAACATGCGACACTGTCAG